ATACAATGGACTCCGGACAAGGTGTGTTTCTCTAAGTCTTCCTACCAATATGACCGAGTTGCGAAAACAAAGTCAAACAACTTCGATACAGTTTTGTTTTTAAGTTATGAGTATACATAAAAAGTAAGGTAGAGCCGGACAGTCTTCTTGACCTAGTGTTAATGTGAGAGAATTAAAAAAATGAATTCCAGCTCTGATCATGTCCATCATATGATGGTGGTTTCCACCCGAAACAATGGAGGGTGTATCATGGACTGCATCAACCTGAAAGTCGTATCAAAGCCAACCGGCTGCAGTACGACGGGAATCAGCCGTGAGGTCTTCGTTCCAATCTCTTTTTCTTGCACTTTCATACGAGATGGAAGTCTTCCCAACGAGTCCTCGTTGTCGCAACTTGGTCTTGTTGTAGGTATCGTAATTCCCAGCATCAGACCGTGAAATTGGTACATTATCAGACGTACCAAGCCCACGGTAATTTCAACAAGACCAAGTTACGACAACGAGGTCAACCCACTTTTATAAATCTAAAGGAGACTGCGACCATACCGGGGGCCACATTATCTTGGTCTTCATATCTTCGATTAAGCCAATTTTACTTTAGCTAAACAGCCATATTAAATCATACCTGGACTTTATGCATCTCTTCCAGCTCTAGCAAAAGAGCCTGTGCGTATTCCTTGTCTGTTTCAAGCCAGCGCGCCAGAGCCAAGCAAATTTTGTTAACCCGATCCACTGTATCCATTGGGATGAGCAGGAAAGGAGCTGCCTTCGAATTATAAAAAAATACCGTTCAAGGAAATAGGAGTGAGGGCCAAATTTTCTTGAATAAGCATGGTGAAATTTTGGAAGTTAGAAGTTTCAGAGGTTTCCAAGTTATTGAAAATTTGGTAGCCGATTTGTGCATGGAACACGGGAAAAAAAAGTCAAGTCTGATTTGCTTACAAAATATCAATTTTGAGTTCTGCTACCATCCTCAGAAGCTCTCGTTAAGGACATTTGACGGATTTCGTATTAGTTTCTATACATGCAAACTGTTAGGCGATGAAGTCATTCAATGAATAATTTTATGGAATAGTTAACCTTATAAATGATCTAATAATTAAATTTGAGTATTGTAAACTTCTATTGAGATTAGTTTGTGGAACAATACTCATTTCTACACTTTTTTCATTAGCGTCGTTTGGCACGAGGAGGGTTAGTTAGGCCATTACCCTTGAGATAATTTTGATCAATCCTGTTAAAGTGTAGCCAACTGGGCTACTGTGATCAATATCATTAAAGGGGTTTTGATAAGCCCTTTGGTTTTAGATCGCATTGCTTCGCGTGCTGTGTTTTGGCTCATTGGGCCAGCAAAAGTATTCATTTATCAGTTCTAGTATTGGTATGATATGTCAATATGGCCTTAAGTTATCTAGGCTCAAATTCGTACTTATTCGGAATTTAAAAATGGATTGCAGAAAATTCAACATTTTTAATTAAATTAATTCAAGAAAAATATTTTCATGCCGAGGTAACTA